AAAAAATTCTCGAAGCTGTAAAAAATGCTCAATCTTTAAATTCGAGCATCATTCGTAAACGTCACGGTATTATCGCTGAGATGGAAACAATGTTAAAATTATGGTTTGATAATCAAGTTAATTTGAAAAATTGTATAATAATATAATTTGTTATACATATGTATTATCTAAGATTTTATTAAACATTTTTTTCTAAATTATTGTTTTCTTTAATCTCCGGCCCCAATTGAAAATTATTTGTATGCATTTATATGCGAAATTATACCCCGACTTACGCGAATTCGACTTACGCGGTTACCGCTCGGTCCCATCTATCGCATAAGTTCGGGGTATTACTGTACTTAATAAATTCTATACGTAATTAAATTAATTTCGTAAAACATACCCATATCCCTCAAGTAATGCTTCCATTCGCATCAAAGTATCCCAATCCTTCGACGATGATTCGTCTTTTAACCATTCTTGAACAGCTTTACGGTTGTGCTGGGTATAATCAGACAAAACAATTTCCGAGAAATATTTACTCGGGGCTGCCATTCTGTGAACGGTCGGGCCACATCCTACGTCAAGAATTCTCTTCCCTCGAAAGGCTTCTGTTACAATGAAAAGAAAGATTTACTTTAGTTCTCAAAATGAATCAAAACACTAAATGAATTTTTTGTATTGTTTCATTAGAATAGGAAACTGCCAACTCGAGATTATCTTTAAAATAAAAACATAAAAAGACGTTTCAATACAAATTTCTTCAAATTTTCCTACATGAATTTTCATATAAAATTCAAATAATATCATTAAAATGTATATTATTTATTTTGATATTTGTATGACATATTCAGAACAGGTGCGGGTTACCAAATTTAATATAATTTTTATTATTATATTTCAACAATAAAATTAAAATGCTCGGCTATTAAACAATTAATCAGAGTGTAATTTGTCTAAATCTGTAATCTAGTCGTTTTTCTTACAATAAAATTTTAATTATTATTTTGAAATTATACGTAATTATTACAGAATTACATAATAGAGTCATTCCACGAGAAAAACTTTAATAATTTTTTTTGTATGATAATTATTAGAGCCATAAGCAAGCCTATGTACAGTACAGTACTGTGTAATTAAAATATAATTTATTTTCTCTACAAAATAATCAATTAAACATAAATACATGTTATTATTCGTTATATTATGTCAATTTATTATTTAATAATAGAATTTTTTGATTTCGTGAATTTTTCCTTGTCTAATAGATTTAAGTGATTTTATTAGAGAAATATTTACCAGCGTGAATTGTTATTTAAATTAAAACTTACCATCGCGAAATATTTGATGCAGACAAAATGAAGCAAATTCTTCCATTTCTATCACTTTATTGAGAACATTACTTCGATAATTGTCGGTAAAATTTCGATCTTTGTACAATTTGGAGAAAGCATATTTATCACCAGAGTCAATTTCCATTACTGCTGTTTATAATGTGCACAAGCGAGTCTAAATTAAAGAGTAAGTCTGCATTAAATAAATATCATTATAACAACAGCAAGTAAAAAAACAATATAAACCTATATATAAATACAGTATAATAATAAACACAATAACTATACAAAAAGCATTAAATTGATTTATGCAATTATGATAGTATCTACTTTAATGGTTTAGGTCGATTGTGCAGCGAAGAAATCTCTCTTTTCGTAAGTTCAAATCAAATTCAAATCTTGTAATCTGGTGCCAGAACAGAATACAATAAATAAAAATATGACAATAACTACAATAAATTAGGAAAAGAAAAATGTGGCATATAAGTATAATTGCAGTTCTATAAATCCAAATGTAGGTCGTTTATTTTAAAGAAGTCAAAAAATTGATAAAAATCGAATTAAAAAGAGATTTTCGATGCATGATATATATAAAAAAAGAAAGAATATAAAAAATAGCTGTTTTAAAGTCTTGGTCTCTGATTTAATACGGAATGCGGAAGAAAAAAAGACGTGAGGTTTTTCACTAGTTTTATGTTTTATAACTTAATTTTAACCCAAATGTATATGTGGAAGCAATCTGTCGGGAGTTAAACAGATGTCGCAATTCCAAAACCTTGTAATAACGAGAAACGTGAAATTAGTAGTAATACCAGCCGTTTACTTCAAAAATCCAGATGATCATCCCATGTTTAGGATTTACACTGACGGTTCCAAGATGGGTGACGATGTGGGTGCCGCTTTTGTAGTTCACTCCAACTTAGGCTACGAGCTCCACAACGCTTGTTTCCATCTAGGTACACGCTGCTCATTATACGAACTTAATTCACATTAGGTGTAGGAAGGACAAAAGACACTATTTACGCTGTCCCACTTATTCTGACAGTAGGGTAGCTTTACACGGGATTGCCAAGTCTGATAGCCGCTTAAAACTCGTCCATCTCATACACCACATTCTCAGACACTTAGACAACATTAGAATAGATTTCCAATGGATCCCGGGTCATGCGGGATTCTCGGCAACGAGACCGCTGACCGTCTTGCCAAACAAGCTGCAAAGTCTTCAGTCACTAGTACATTCAGTTACATTCCTACCACGTACATCAACAATCGCGTCAAGAAGCAAATCTTCATTCTCTGGCAAGACCGCTGGGACCGTGGCACCACTGATAGGCTCACCTATATTTTCATCCCCAAGGGTGACACTACTGCGACTCTTTGACACTTTTACCTCAGTTCCATCCTGACTCAGCTACTTATAGGACACGGCAATTTTAAGCAATACTTGCATAGATTTAACCTCGGGGACAATTCACAATGCGATTGTGGTATTCGGGAAAACCAAACACCACTTCACTTAGTTTTTCGCTGCAATAGGTACAATCACATTAGGGATAGTTTAATGAGAGCTGCTATTTTTGAAGGGTACAACTGGCCTCGCAACCCGCACCATCTCATTTACAGGCGTACAATGTTCCATCAACTACTCTCTCTCATTCATATCCTTTAATGAGACACAAATAAGTTATAAGTTATACTCATGTAATCACTATATTTAGTACTGACTAATCTTAATAACAAAAATATAGTTAATCGTTTACGGTCTTTTCTCGGTAGTGCAAATTTTTCAATTATTTTTGAGCTTATTATAAGTAACAGTCAGTTCTATTGATCAAATCTTCCCGAGATTTTTTCGATAAATTGTAAAGACGATGTATAAATTACTTAATTTATGACTTAATTTATGAATTTTAGTTGTACACAAAGATCAAATAAAGTATATGCCAAAATAAGTACAAATAAGAATTATGTCTGTATATAAGGTTCAAAAAGTTACCTGCTGCCTCGAAATATAAATTAATTTTTAATTATTAATATATAG